CGCGTCCCCTGCCCGCCCGCGGCCCCCCCCCGGCTCCCGCTGCCGTGCCAGCGCGGTGGGATGCCGTCCCCGCGCCGGGCAAGTGGGTAGGGACCAGAGGTCACCTTCCCCAGCAGCCCGCCTCAGACCCGGCACATGTCACCGCGGCAGTAAAGGGAGATTAATGGGAGGGTTTTATTATTCTCAGTTTTGCAGGGGAATTCTCCCTCTTTTTATAATGGCTTTTCCCCCTGTGACGAAGGGGGAAACGACGGGCAAGGCTGGAGCGGGCTCTGTTTGCTCTGACGTCTCAAGGTGTGTTTTCAAAGCAATGGTATTTGGTGCTAAAACCTATTCTGCACTTCCCATCCACTGGATATTCCATCCTTTAGGAGGAGGGAAGGCAGAGCCCTTTAAAGGGGGGTGTCAGTGCCCCAACCTGCAGCTCGGCCAAAAATGGGGCTGCTTCCGGCGATACGGGACCAACCCGGGGCAGGGGACGGTGGGAGAGGTGCACAGAAGGTGTACTTGGTCAAAATCATCTGCATTTTAAACAACACAAGCTGCTCGAGACCACGCTACAGAAAGGAGCAATTTACAGTTTTTTCTTTTCTCTCTCTTTACATTTTTTGCAAGCAGTTGCGGAAAATGAGCAGTCTTGAGAAACAGAGAGGAGAAGGGGCCAGAGGTGGGAAAGGCATCTAATTGTGTGTAATCATTAATTCCTTTCCCAGCTCTAACGAATATAAATAGACAGAAACTCAGCTGCGTGGATGGGCTTGGGGGAACTCACACAGTGTCACCCAAGAAGGGCTCTTGCCCATTTTTCCTGTGCCTTAAATTCATTTTACGTGTAAAAATATTTTGGGGCATATGCTGGGCAGCCTGGGACCAGGGGCAAAGCCAGGGAAGAGGGCAGGGGGCTGCTCCTCGCCCGGCTCCGGACACGCCAGGTACCCACAGGCAGGACGGGGACGCGGGGACCCCCTCTCCCCCCCCAGCCCCGAAGGGTGAGCGCTGGTGCGGGTACTTACGCCGGAGGATCTCCCGCTGCTTGCGGACGTACCACGTGTAGAGGGCGGCTCTCTTCTGCGTCTTCATGGGGGTGCCCTTGTTGAGGTGCTGGGAGAGGTGCGACTGGTTGAGGCCGGTGACATCCACCACCTCCCGCTGCGGGATGTTGTGCTGCTGCATGTACCCCTTGATCATCTTCGCCGCCCGCCACGGGTCCTCGCTGCGGGGAGGGAAACGAAGGGTTAACCTCTCCCAGTGGAGGAAAAGCACCCCCAGTATTTGCTCCTTCCCACAATGGAAACTTGTTATTATTATTATTCTGAAACCTGTTTGAGAAGGGCACGAGATCCCTTGAGCACACATCCTTCCCCAGTTGCTATGTCGGCCCTCCAAAACAGCCCCGTCCTGCCCCCGGGAAGGCAGGGGCTGGCACCACAGGGGCTCACGGGGTGCCACGACCACCCCAGGGATGCCCACCAGGCTGTTTGCCCAGGGAAGGAGAAGTAAAGAGGATCCCGGTGTCCTGACGAGGCACATACGGGTCTCATTAATGCTCGTAAAGCACATCCAGATCCTTCAAGGTGAAATCTATTCTATTCTATTCTATTCTATTCTATTCTATTCTATTCGATTCTATTCTGTTCTAGTCTAGTCTAGTCTAGTCTATTCTATTCCATTCTATTCTATTCTACTCCATTCCATTCTACTCCATTCCATTCTATTCTATTTTATTCTATTCTATATGCAGCTCATCCATTTACTGCTGCCGTTATTGCATTCACTGCAATTTCTCCCTTTAAAGATACGGACACACAATGGGATACACACGCACACACACACTCGCACGTATGGATATGGGAAGCCCATATGGATATTCCTCTGAAGAAAGAGAAACCTCGCATCTGGCTATGCCAAGGATGCTTTCCCTGCCCCGCTCCCGGCTGCGGTACCCGCACTGCGCCCTGAGCCCCAAGATTTGCTGCTGGCTAGCGGGGACCCCCGCTAATTTAGATAATTATCTAAAAATCTCAGTATTCATTTAAAAGAGACCCTATTTCCACGCTCTCACAACAGCAAAGCACCCGTGCGGGCCACATGCAGAGGGCTGAGAAGCGAAGGTCAAACCAGGCACGCAAACCCAGGCAACTCCCCGAATGGAAAACCAAAACCAACCTCCCCTCCAATAATTTTATGACATTCTTGAATATTTTTAAAAACACTTGAATTTGGCTCCTGCAAGATCCCGGTGTAAAATGAACCTTTCCTAAATCCCCATTAGTTTGGTGTCCTTGGGGGTAGCTGACACCAATCTAGGGAATAAATAAAATCACAGCCAAAAATCCAAACGCTGTCTGCGTTCCTCAGCTCTAACAAAAGCACAACGCGACAGCAGAGGCACGCACAGGCCAACACACCTTCGCTGCATTCAAGACCCCTGCGCTTATCCTGCACGACAGGAGGATGCGGGACTAAAAGGAAGTGCTTTAATGCTGAAAAATCGGTGTGGAGCCTGAACCTGGTCACAGTCATGCACTCAAATAATGCGATACTCAAACGCTGCGCTTGGAATAACCGTCCCACTGCTTTCCCAATTCATTACTTATTTTGGATCCTTCAACCTGTCACAGGGAAAAAAAAAAAAACAACTAAAAACAAAAAACAAAACCCAACAAGTAGATTTCTTACTTTTTGTCCTGAACGCAACGTGAAAACAAAGCTGGTTGGATCCAAAGCAAAAATTCCCGAGCAGCGCCGTCCCGCTGATGGCGGCGGGGGCTTTGTCACACCCCGGGAAGGAGGGGACGGAGCGCTCCTAGAGACGTTGTCCCTCTGCCCAATCCTGCATCCTCCGGGCAGAGGAACCCCACCGTGGAGATGGTGTCCTCTATACGGCGATGGTGACATGGCACCGCGCACCTGCGGAGCCGCACGTACGCACGGGCACACGGACACGCCGACTCCGGTGTTCCCAACAGCCCGGACCCCCGACCCCGTTAAGCACGGTGCAAACAGAAAAGCTTCCTCCTGTCCCCAAAACGCATGGCACCG